TCCTTTGCTGTATCCGCAGGCTCATTGACCCCAGCCCGCCACCGCTCTTCTGGCGTCCCGTTTCCGTCCCCCAACGTTTCCTGCATTCCCCAGCTTTGTTTAACCCTCCACTTTTCCCTTCTCCGCCTTCACCCTGCATGCTGACAGCGGCCTCTAGTAGCGCGCCTCTCACATGACATCTCTTATTCCTTCCCACCACGACACCTCGTTAGCTGCCAGTCCTGCACCTTTCTACTCTTCTCGCTGTACGACGCTCTGGGGACAACATGCTCCTACGCATCGCTCGCTCTCGTTAAGCGCTATTGCCGGCTATCAGTCGTTTCTGAATCGTTTCTTTTATTTCCCCTTATGCTATGACCACCTGAGCTTCCCCCTCTTTTAGTTCCCTTGTCCTTTCGTGGCTTAAGCTCCCCAGTCTCTGAATTCTCTCCATCTCATGCGCCATTTCTCTCATTCTCTGGTACCTTCCTTTGACTTTTTCTTCTGTGATCTCGCCTTGCCAGATGTTCTCTCCTTTTGACCTAACCTGCTCTTCCTCCCTTTGACCTTACCTTCTCTGAACCTGGAGCCTCCCACGGGCCGCATCTCCTCTTGAGCCCGCCCTCTCTCTCTCTCTCTCTCTCTCTCTCTCTCTCTCTCTCTCTCCTCTCTCTCTCTCTCTCTCTCTCTCTCTCTCTCTCTCTCTCTCTCTCTCTCTCTCTCTCTCTCTCTTTCCCCCGTCTCCTAACCCACGTCTCATGTTTCTTCTGATCCCGCCTCCTGTCGCCTCTGATCCCGCCTCCCGTCTCCTCTCACTTTGCCTCCTGTTTCCTATGACTCCGTCTCCTGTTTCCTCTGATCCCGCCTCCTGTCCCCTTTGATCCCGCCTTCTGTCGCCTCTGATCCCGCCTCCCGTCGCCTCTCACTTCGCCTCCCGTCTCCTCTAACCCGTTTTCCTGTCGCCCCTGACGCCACCTTCTGCGTCCGCAGGCTACACATTAGCCGGACCGGCGAGCCGCGGCTGGTGGCCAGCTCCGACTCGGCGGTAATCGGTCTGCCGCTGCACCGCTGCTACACGGACAAGATCACCGTCTGCGGGTGAGGAACAGTCCCCCCGCCAGCCCCTACCCCCCCCCCCCCCGGGCTGGTCGCACTGCTACGGTCGCTGGGCGCCCCTGCTACACGGGCAGGGGCGCACCATCTGCGAGTGAGCAACAGTACCCACCCCCACGCTCTCCCCCTTCCCCGGGTCTGCCGCTGCACCGCTGCTACACGGACAAGATCACCGTCTGCGGTTGAGCAACAGTCCCCTCCCTCGACAGCCCCCCCCCCCCCCTACTGCACCGCTGCTACACGGACAAGATCACTGTCTGCGGTTGAGCAACAGTCCCCCCCCCCCCTCCAGCACTCCCCCCCCCCCGGGCTGGTCACACTGCACCGCTGCCACACGGACAAAATCGCCTTCTGCGGGTAAGCGGCAATCCCCCGCACTCTCCCCTTCCTTTCGGGTAGGTCACCGGCGAGGGTGGCAGACGACCAGGTCTGCGGCTCTTCGACGTCGACTGACTAGTTGTGCCTGCTGCTTTGATTTTTCTGCTCTTCTTCACGTCTTCTAGGTATTTGTCGTATTGCTTATTCAAACCTTTGACGGGCATGCACTCAACTTGTGCAGTTCTTGTTTGATTCGCCTTTTAACAGATGGATTATTCCTTTTGTCAAAATTCTTGCTTTTCGGTGGAAACCATCGCTTTTGAGTTTTGCCGTTTTCTCATGTTAGCAAATGCAATGCATTTGTATCATCTGACGAGGGGCATGCTCTTCGATATGCGCATCGTAGTGCCTTGGTGCATACATTTATATCTTTACTGAGTTCATTCTAACACACTGGACGGATTCTCCACATGCAAAGTGTGATGTAGTTGTAAGCCATAGTTGACGAGCTGCCTCTGGCATTTGACGAGCTACGGTTGCGGTTTGTTGACTCAAACACCGCCTCTGTTAATTAACACATACGGCAGACCTGAATTATGTACCGGCTCAAACCACCTGTTGTTGAGGCAAGTTGCTATGCCAAGCAAAACAGCTCAGCACTGATATCTTGAGAAGTCGCGTGGGGCGCCTGGCTCACGCTCTTACGCAAATGAGAACGGTAGATGGAATACTGGACTGAATCGTCATGAAACTTTTTTTAGAGTCTTAAGTGTATGATTAAGGCAACCGATTAATTGCAGTTGCAGACGAGGCCTCAGGTGAACTGAGCCTTTCATGACCAATTGTCGGCTGGCGGCTGGGTGTTCGCTCTCTTTACAAGCATGTACCTTCGTGACGAGTACTCCGATTCTATACGGCTTCCGGCGAAAAATGCATGGAACGTATTTTAGGAAATGTTGAGCATCATGTTCAGAAACAGTGCGTGAACTCGTGTTGATGTTTGTCTTTTACGTTAACTGAAATGCTCGTTTTATCTATGTGACTGAGGTGTGTGGAGAACCTGCGTGAAAAACGGGTTGTGATAGCCACATGTATTGTGAACTCTCTATTCTTGTGAATACATTACGAAATCCGCAACAAATTACCTAAGCACTGACTGTTGAATGGTTCAGATTTTATTTTTCGGTTTGCAATAGAAAGATGCCACTGTACCGCTTCAGCTTCACAAACACGTGTATTTATACGAAGTCGTTGCAAACTGCGGGGTTCCATTTTTGATCGCGGTGGCCATGCGCATCTGGTTGAATAAATGGAGGCTTTGTATAAATATAATGAATAAACAGAGCGCAAGTGGACGATATCCGCAAAGTTTTTTTGTCCCTGTTCTCTCATGAGGACTTCCATGACTTTGGGGTCCCAATCATTTCTATGAGAAATCTAGAACCCATAGCTAACATAAGTGAACATCCTTGTCTGCTAAGTTGTCATGAAAGACGAGCATGACCATTTATAAAAGCTCATATGAGTGGGTGTCCCAATGTATCTGCATCTTTTTGCTTATATTCGGATGTCATCTTAAACCATCCAATATTTGGTTATCCGTGGCATGAGATCTTACACCAGAATAAGGTGCCCTTATGTTATCTGCACAAATGAAAATTTCCTGCAGCGAATTGGACTGACTCAGACGGTACCTGTTATGTCAGGTTTTCTCTCTGCGCAGCAATATGTATACAAGGTTTGACTTCAACCTGGACGCGAACGGAGGGCGATACGCTACCGTGGTATCAGCACTGTGACGCAATGCTCAGGGCACCACAAGACGCCGTTGTGAACCGAAGCCCTCGCTGCACAAGCGACCATGTTTCCGGTCTGCGTTGGTATAGGATCGAAGAGTTGCGGGATGGATTGAAATGCGTTTCCCCGGTTTTCATATCATCCAGCTGGAAAGCTGTTTTCTTGGACCACACCCTTTTCAGACAAATAGATTGATAAAACAGTCTCCTTGTTTTGCGTCTGAGACTTAACATTCCCTTCGTGCCTCATAATTACGTCTACACTGCCGCGCGACACACACATCCAGTTCACCACTTTCCACGCAACGTGACTTTGCGTGAAAAGCAATTGGGACAATAAGTCTTTGTCGTGTGGGACGCCATCCATTGTCTATTTCGGAGTTAATCACGGGATCTGGTGACGGGGACGGGATTGGTTCTTTAATTACCCGTGTCGGTTTAGAATAGATGACGTTTTATACCAATGTCGAAGTAGCTGTTTGAAATGGTGCATGTAATGTAGGATGGTGTATGCGCTGAGCAAGTTCCGATAAGTTTTCTGGAGCGTCAAGAGGTCTGACTTTAATTGGAGAAGTTAACTGCTTGAACGCACTTGGACTAAGCGTTCGATTCCATGCGTCTCCCACGTGCCGTGATAGATGCATGCAATTGTCTATAATATATATATATATATATATATATATATATATATATACATATATGTGTGATATATTGACATATTCTATAGTATGATATATCATATGAAATATTATATGATACTTATATCATATACTGAAAAAATATATGTGCTTGGTATATGTTTTCATGAACATTCGTGTAAAAGGAAACCCTTAAACTTACTTAAAAAGTTTGGTACTGTATTTCCGCGTTCAAGTGTATCCACATCGCGCTATGCCTTCCGCAAATGAACGGAAATGTTTCTATGTGCACTGAACGTGCAGGGCGGAACGTACTGCAGCAGACCACGACTTCAGGCTCGAGGATTTCTACCGGCCCAAACCACCACCCATCCCCTACAATGTTATGACCTCTGTCACATCATCTGCCGTCAGTAGCCGAGCCTGTGACACCGTTGGCCGCTCCGTTGATTCGCTGCGGCTGCTCTTCTCCCACGTGAAAAATTGGGGACGACAAACATCGTTCAGACTGTCACGCTCAGCCTGCGCGTGTTGCTGACTGGTTGCCTTCTTTTCCTTCGCAGTCTGGATGACGCCAATCGGTTGTGTTCGTCTTCCGCCTTCTTGCCTTTTTCTTCGACGGTTTATCTTGTCGTATTGCACACACTCCATCGTTCCCGTCCTCCACTTCACAGGATTTCAGGATACCCGCCCGTCGTTTGCGTCGGAGACTGGGCCAACCCCAACAGGAACTTAAGTTGGCTTAACGTCTTGCGGTAATGAAAATACTTTGGTTGGTCATTAGCTCATGTACTCCATCCATCATTGGTGTATCGTATGTAACGTGGTGAGTACCGTGATAATGGTGTCGTACCGTGACGGCTACCGTTGCGATATGCATCGTACCATGATGAGTACCGTGATGATGTGGGTCGTATCGTGATGAATACCGTGATGATGTACATTGTACCGTGATGAGAGCC